ATCCTGCATCGACAGGCAACAAAGCATAAATTGGTTACTGAAGTTATGTTACTCCTTGGCGGGTCATGACGACTGGGAGCCTAATTGTTGTCAAGATGAATCATTTACCGATAGAGCTACATCGGCTGGCACCGAATATTACCACACTAAAGCAGCTTGACGACTGGCGAAAGCCGGACAGCTCCAACTATACTTGATCGTTGGATCAGGACCTCCTGAAGGAAGTTTAGAAAAAAGTGTCCAATTCTCAACGCTCAATTGTTTGTTCAGGCTAAACTTCTTGCGATGTATTCACCCAATTTGGTTTCAGGTGATGAAGGACTGGTAGAAGAAGAATTTTCCCATAATGATATGAGCTGAATTCACCATAGCCATGCTTTCCCAAAAGTTGTTCTCATCCAGGCATCAATAGACTGCAGTTTCGACCTCGCATCGGTCTTATCAACACCCTTAGCGGGAGTCGAACAGCGACAGTGCGGGGTGGGAGCTTGACACGCTAACCACTCGGCAATACTGCCACGAGCGCCTTTTGGGTCACAGGGCAAATGTGCATTTTTAAGGGAGGCCAGGTCTTTTTTTGCCATATTATATTCTTTGGGTGGAATTGTTGATGAAGCAAACGTATAGCTGCTATAAAAATCGACTATTATACTTTATTTTTCGAATTAAGTGTTGTTTTTGTGACTACCAGTAAATCAGTAATATGAGATGTATTCACCCAATTTCGTTCAAGGTCATGAAGGACTGGTAGAAGAAGAATTTTCCCACAATCATATGAGTTGAGCTGGATGAGAACAACTTTTGGGAAAGCAAGGCTACGTGAAATTCAATGGAAACGTCAATTCAACTCATATCATTGTGAGAAATTTCTTCTTCTACCAGTCCTTCATCACCTTGAACGAAATAGGGTGAATACATCTCATACTACTGATTTACTGTTAGTCACGAAAATAATACTTAATTCGAAAAATAGACTTCTTGCCGTTGAGCACAAGAATAGCCTACGATACCTCTCGCTCCCAGCGTGGCTTCAGATAAACTTCGAAGTAATGCATCCTTTTGATGGGATGAAAGGAACATGTGACAAAAAGGCAGAATGTAATGCACCAAGTTGCAAAAACGAGGTCAATCCTGTCCATGGTCTGACTTTGTCTGCGTAAGATGATATTTCAAACCGTCTTGTCGTGTAGACATGCCTACTACTATATTCACCATATTCCCCATATTTCATCATATGCACCATATTCACTATATTTCTTTAAACTGGCGGAGAGTGCTCTGATTAGGCGTCAAAATTGTGAGCCTATGGCTCCATCACCAGATTAAAGAAATATGCAAATACAGTTCCTATAACAGATCTACGTGTAGTATCGAATACGAAAATAAATGTGTACCCCTCTTGCTTCATTCAGCTTCGTGATGGGTACTAACTTCTCAGGGCAGAATTAAAAGGCTACCTATCAGCAATTGCTATAGCAACTTTCAAATCAAATAAACGACCCGACTTGCCAGTTGGAAGTAAAGGTTGGATGGAAGAAATTCGTGAAATGGCCTCATTGGAAGCTGTAGGAGGTGAGACGAAGAAGTCTTTATTCATGATTCTACGACTCAGATGTACTTAGGGTAAACTTTAGTTTGTGTTCCTCTAAGTCTTCCTACCAACATGACCAAGTTGTGAAAACAGAGTCAAACAAGCTCAATAAGTAGTTTAGCCGATTGCGATAGCAAATACCACTTTGCTTTGTTGATAATTTCACCACAGAAATGTGTAATGGGAAGGGCCTATGCTTCTTTGGAGTTCCCTTCGGCACTCGCGGCTGACGCTGAGAGAGTATACACTGCACTAGCACAGACCTGGATTGAGTCCCGCCGGCGGTGCTGATGAGACCAGTTGAGGCGAAGTCGAAACTGCATTTCACTCCTGTCCGGGTGAGAACATCTTTTGGGAAATTCAGCGAAAGTGTGAGACCTACTCACGTGAATGTGTGAAAATTCAACTGCCAGTCCTTCATCACCTTCAACGAAACAGGTCGAATACACGCCTTTAAAGTAAATTCAGATCGGAGATTGGGTTGCACCGAACCTTTTCGCAATTGGCTCACGAATGCCACTCAGTCGTCAGAGTACCAAGCACCGATAGACGTCGACAAGAGTGGCAAATCCTGAATCGAGTTGCCAACGGCCGTCAGGCTTCTGCGATGCCTCGAGACGAGCATTTGCATGCTGACAAGGCATCTGACGGGCTTTTCGGTCCCTCCACTCCGTCCGACTCATCGATGCGGTGTGAACTTTCTCGTGACACGCGAATGCTCCCAATGACTCAGTTGTCCCGGCCAAAATGTGTGCTAACATAGTCGGGGCTCAGTGAACCATGCAGACCGGAGTGTTTATCCCAACTCGAACGTACTCTCCAGACCGCGCCGAAACGTGAGGTGAGACGGACCGATGGAGGCACACAGTCGTCCGGCTGATGGCTTGTTTATGTTGAAGCCGGCTCCTGCAAATGGGAGACCAGAGGCCGCCCTCAAAGGACGGTCTGGTCGAGTGAAATGAGAATGGCGAAACGTGAGGGAACAAGCGTAAGACTCAAAGCCGGCCTCGGTTGATGGGAAATTGCAGAGAGGGGTGAAACAGTCGACAGAAGGAGGGGCAGGAGTCAGACAAATGGAGCCTAAAACCTGGGCTGCTGCGTGAAAGAAGTGGAGGCTTTGAGGTCTCATTATAGGTTATGTTTATCGTTCAAGCTGAATCTAGAACTTAACGAGATAGATGCAGTTGTGCTGATTATTCAAGTACATTTCAAGCTCTAAAGAGCCCCCAAATTTCCACATCAGGCACTTATCTTCCTCACCTTTCGCCCAATTTTCATTTCCCCTTCACATTTCCCACCTCCCTTTATCCCTCTTCCCTTAATTCACATCTTTTCACCTCCCTCCCACCTCTTCCCCTGGCCAACCTCCCGATTTGCCTACAGAATCATCTATTAATTTAGTCTTTCTGGACAAGCTAGCCATCGTACCTCTTCATGCCCACCATTATTGATGCACACTTACGCCTAGCTTCTACCAATGTCTACATATATTTGTTCACGTACTGGCTCAGTTACCTGCTATACACCTTCTGCACGCCCATCTATACCCCTTACTTGCTCTGCTCGTAGCTAGTTCCCTTCCTACTTTTCTACCGTTCCACCCTTGGGCCCACCTTTACACACACCCGAGACTCTCTCCAAAACTATTCAACCTTCATACACCTACTCATTTCTTAGCAATATAACATCCTAGCCTCAAATTAATACATTCATTAGCTTTGTGGCCTATCCATTTCAACGCACATTCATATTCACTTATAATCTCATCTATCCATTCACTTTTATTAATCCCTACTCCTTTCTAACCCAATTCACCTGGTTCCTGATCTGTCTGTCTATCCATCATCATGCATACCCATTAAGGGGGTTAGTGAACCTCCAGAATGATTGGTGTATCGCAGAGACAGCTGAGCCTGAGGAACTCAAAGCTCTAATGCGTCGTGACATCAAATTGATAATGAGATGTATTCACCCTATTTCGTTTAAGGTGTTGAAGGACTGGTAGTA